GATACTGAGCTTCTTCCTTTGGGACAAATGGAAATCTGCTGCTATATTAAAATGTAGCAGCTCATCATTTATTCAAAGGTAAAACACCTGGATTATGTCGACATAATCCAGATGTTCAAGTCAGTGAAAGTCTCACAAGAGCTGATATCATTCATGGATAAAACAATGAGATGTTTTTGTTCGATTACAGATTCAACTTTTGAAAGCGAGAAACTAATCTGAGCTTTGAAACGCAACAGAACAGAATCTAACCACTAAATAGGCAGACGATGCCCTCTTCATACTGTCAGTGTTGACCGGAATAGTGTAAATGTGACGGTGGTCAATAAAATAAAACCAGTGTATCAGAGCTACTGTATAATTTTCTGCTGAGTCGGCGGGTCGCCCTGCAGCCACACCTCACTGCCGCCACTGCTACCAGTCACCACGTCAGGAGTCCGACAGCTCACTGACTACAGGGCGAGTTGCCATTTTTAAAATCTATAAACAAGACCTCATCCTAAAACCGAACCCTGGAAAATTCCCCGTTGCCCTGCGGCCCACGCTGTGGCGTCAAGAAACGCTCGGAGGCACCGGGGCAGCAGGGTGTGCGTGATGTGTCGGCTAATGACACGCTGCGTTAAAAACACAACTGTTTGATCAGCGCGCACGTCGCCAGCTGGAGACTCATTTGGTGAAAAGCTAATGAAAAGTCACGCAGCGTTCAGCTACCAGCGCCGAACAACCGCCATCACGACCACGGAGCTGCAGAGGAACTTTAGACGCATTTGGCCCGTGACTCATGTGGTTCATCTAGATCACATCACAAAATTACCAGTTTCAAGAGACAGAGGCTGAGTTTATGAAAGCTTGGCCGTGTGTTTTACATGCCGACTACCGTTAGGTGTTGAGCACCATGTGCGCCTCAAGGTGTGAAAACTGCCGCCGTACAAAAGCTGATGCGGACAGGAAGGGGTGAGGTCAACTCAGCCTGTGAAGCGACTAAACGCTTCTCTAATTCTCGCGTTCGACACCTCGGGGGCCGACTCCTTGGCAGTCGGTCTCGCATTAGTAGTCTGAAGGTGTGAGGGGCGAGGAG